CTGTATTCCTTTTCTGTAAACAGACTGAGTATTTCGTAACTTTTTTTAGTCAAATGAGGGGTCGCCAAGCCTTCTTGATGTCTGAATTTCTGTTAAGAAATGATAAAGTTTAGAATGCATGATTGTTAAATATTTTGAAAATACATAATACAGATAATTTAATAAAAAGTTCCTAAAAATATCATCTTTCATCTATCATCTCATCTCTGATTAATATTTAGAGGAAATAATGTGCTCAAAATTCACCCAAATCTTGGGTGAATTTTAAAATTTTTACACAAACCTGCTGCAGTTATTGTGTTCACTATTTGGGTTTGTTGTAGTCAGTTCACTCAGTGATAGAAAAGGGGTGCTTTAAGGAACAAGGTTGGCAACCACTTAAACAGCAGGGGGTTTGATAAAACACAGGGTAAAAACTGTAAAAAAACAAAAAAAACAAATGTCAACTCATCTGTTTTTGATGTTACCCAACCACCTGTTATAACAAACAGATTCACAGTTTTGACTTCAGTCTGCAAAAGGCAGTAGATTATGAACTGTGAAGAGAAAGAATGATGTGTCAGAAAAAAAAATGTTTAAGCACTAGCCTATTTATTAACATTTCCAGAGAAGGGGGCTGTTTGTCCACCCCATTATTCTTACCTTTTCCACTCTGCACTGTCTTCCAGAGGCTGTAGGGGCTCCAGTTTGAAGCTATAGCTCATGAAGATACAGGTGTTATATGAAACTAGAAGACCTAAAGCATCCATTGGTACTAACCACGGTAACCTGGAATGACCATTTTCAAAGTGAAGTTACTGAAATGTATCAGTAATTATTTGCAGTACCTATTTACTACTGCTTATTACTAGTAATGCCTTACTGCCCAACACTGTTGCCCACCTTGGCTTGTAATCCAGTCTTTGGTGGTGGTATAAAGAGAAGGCTCTGCTACTCACAGCTAAAACTATCAAGCCCTTTTCAGCCAATGTGATGGACGAAAAAGAAGGATTCTTTAAGTCATTCTAATGAGAAACTCAAAATATTGATCTCAGAATAATGAGAATGAGAATAATGACTTAGTGTAAGGTTTAAGTGGTGGAAAACCCTTACAACCAGGATAAAAAACAACGGAATTGAGGAGTATAGTGTATTTGTTTTGTTAGTGATTTGTTTTTGTCAGAACTCGAACCGAAAACAGGTTCACAGGTGTAGCAGATTCCCAGCAGCCAGAGAGATAACCAATTCAACCCCCTCTCTGTAACACACTGACCCGGATTTTCCACCCAACCTCTATACCTGTGGAATATTCTAAAACAGATCTTTAAAGAACAACTACACTAATAGTAGTGACTGATGGTGATGATGAACATGAAGAAGATGATGACGACGACAACAATAATGGGGGACAATGAGCAATGATTATAGTAATAATAGTAACTGTAGTAATAATAATAATAATAATAATAATAATAATAACAATAATATCAGTGATATTATCAGTGACATTAGCAACCTGGGAAGCCAGCCAGGACCATGGGCAGGAGGACTCAACAGGATCCATGAGAACCTGCGAAGAACGAGAAAGCACTAGAACGCCGGGGAAAAGTGAAGTTAGTAACATGCATCTCAATGGGGCATGAATTGGTGTAGAAAGAGAGGGAGAGGTATAGAGACCTCAGTGCATCATGGGAAAATCCCTCGATAAGTGTAGGGTCTAATAGCAGCTTAATAGACGGAACTTCTTAAAGCCTACTCTTCAGATGTGGAGAGGGTGTACTGCCTCCAGAATACCCAAAATTGAAGCTGTGTTTCCACAGGAGAGGAAGCTTGGTAGCTGAAGGCTCTGGCCTCCTGTTCTAACTTTTAGAGAGCTATAGGAACCACAAGTAGTCCTGGCCATTCAAAGAACGCAGTGTATTCTAGTGAGGTAATAGGAACTAAAATCTATGAGCACTTAAGATAATGAAAAGAGGCAGATATGAAGGGGCCTGACCATGAAGAGCTTTATAGGTGAGGAGGAGGATTTTAAATTCTATTCTAAATTTTACAGGGAGCCAGTGCAGAGAAGCTAATACAGGAGAGATATGATCTCTATTCCCTGTTCCTGCTGCAGCGTTCAATTTAACAGTTTAACAGTTAACTAAACATGAAATTAACTACAATTCAACTCCAAATAAAACATGCAAACAAAACAGACATTTTTTATTTATTTAAAATCCTAAAACATGCAATAAAAAGCGACCATAAACTCAGTATTTTAGGAGTTCACCTTACAATAATAAACAGTAGCATGAATTATCAAATATTCCTTCAGAAATAACTGTCAATATGGGGATAAAATAACTTTTTCAAACTACAGTACCCAACAGCAAAAGTAGACTAAGCTATCATATACACATACAATTGCGTGCACACGTCCCAGAGCATCACGGCTGGGGAGACCCAGCAGCAGAAATGCTTTCACCATGCAGGAGAAACTCTGCTGAAAAACAACCCCTTATCAGATAAGAAATGTCCCATATTCAAATTGGAATTTTGGTCAAGATTACAATACCACTACAGAGACATGTAGCCTCTGCCTCACAGGCTCTGGATCCTGTGTGGAAACACTGGAGTCTTTTTGTTGAGATGCCGACTGGTCCGCTAATTATTCCAATTCACCACAATGTGGTATCCGTGTCCCACAGCTCTCCAGCACACCCAGGAGGCAGAAGGAGAGAGAGTGTAAGTGATTAGTACAAACTGAACAGGTACCAAAATGGTAGATTATACTGCTGTACTCTTTACATCCCCCCCTTTTTCATAGCCATGTCCTCATGGTAACTAATCACAATACACAATTTTTTTTGCCTAGCTGGTTGTTGGCCTTTGAGATTGGTGTAGGGTGTGCTCATCCTCTTCCCTCGTCTCTGACCATGTGTGGATGTGCTCTGTGTTTAGCTCCTGTCTTCCTGTCCAAACCCCTCTACTTCTGAAGGGGCTTGTGATGCATCTCCCTCGGTGGGCTGGATAGGTTGTGGAAGTGGTTCCTTGATGTGCTTTCAACCTACAATTGGAACTGCAACCCATCTGTCAGACCCAGAGGTTTGCTGACCTATAAGGGTAGAGTTATAGTGGACAAGGGCACATTAAATTCTGATGCAGAACCTTCTCTGATCCCTGTACTATTTCTGGTTTAACTACAAAGACCAGCAAATCTGGGTTATGTTGCTTTAAAATGACATATGGCTTACTCTCCCAAACATCTCACAGCTTACCTCAACTCTTTGCCCCTCGTTGCCGCAGAAGGACCCTTTCTCCAGGAAGCCGTGACCTACTCACTGGACTGTCACGGCTTTTTCTCTGCTGTTGACAGGCGTTCTCCAGTCATTCAGCTGCCTGCTGGTAGGCCAGTTTAAGTCTCTTGTGGTGTAGTTTGACCCAGTCGGTTTGAGGTTCTGCTGTTTCACTTTTGTGTGCCAAGTGTCACATCCATGGGAAGGTGAGGGTGCCACCCAAACAGGAGGTACGAGGGGGTTTGTCCTGTGAAACTGTGTTGTTATACATAAACATATTTCTAGAGTACCTAGGAGGGAAAGCAGAGAGAAAACCAATTTCCTTCCGAGTGATAGATGGTGGTTGTGCTCTTTGCTGTCCCATAGAGACTACATAACTCTGGCAGGACAGCAGATTCTAAGTAGTAGGCTGTCCTTGGGGCGGCTACCCTAGCAAAATTCTGTATGAAGCAGCAGTAGTAACATACCAGTCCCAGAAAAGCCCACCGTTCTTGGTTGTGGAGATGCTGACACAGTCTTCATCTTCTCTACCATGGGAGTGACACCTTCTCTGTCACCACATGGTTGAGGTATTAGACAGAGGGCTGGGTTTCAATTTGAGGCCATGCTGGACCAAACAAGTGAGTAACTGCTCAAGATACTTGAGGTGAGTGGCAAAGTCAGAGGCAAACACAATGGCATCATCCAAATAAATTAAAAGTGACTCAAAGTCATCTCACCTAAGCAGGGTTCCATTAACCTCTGGAAGGTTGCAGGAGCACTGCACAGCCCACAAGGCATTTGATCTAACTCATATAGTCCCATTGGTATTGTGAATGCCGTCTTCTGGCGGTCATCTTGGTGGACACCTGCCAGTATCCAATGACCAAGTCAAGAGAAGAAAAATACTTGGCCTGGGACAACACGGTTATGGACTCTTGGCAATGGGAAAGCATCTTTTAGTGACTGCATTGACCTTGCAATAATCTACACAAAATCTCAAGGTACCATCTTTCTTCCTCATTAACACATTGGAGATGCCCAAGGCCTACAACTCTGGTGGATAATCTCTCTCTCTAGCATATCCTGCAAAAGGGCACGGACCTCTTGATAAATGTTAGGGGGAATCAGGTGGTGTCTCTCACGGCTAGGTGGGGTGTTACCTGCTGGGATGTGATGAAATTGCAGTCAGTTTTGCCAAAATCATGGTTAGTTACTGAAAATACCTTATGATGATGTTCTAAAATGCTCAAGAACCTGCTGTTGCTTTTCAAACAATTAGAGATACTAAGTCAATATTTAGAGAAAGTTTCTCATTCTAATTACTTACAGAATCTCCTTTTTTGTCACATAGTGACATACTATACATAAGGGTCAGGTGGACAAATATGTTTTTTGTCATTTGGGTTAACTGAACTTTTAAAGGACAGGAGAATGTAATTCTAATATGCACATAATCTAAACATATTCAGTATGATTTCTAGGATGTCACTCTCTACATGTAGCATAAACAAATATACATATTGCTTCACTGTAACTGAAATTCTTGTTGTCTTCTTACTCTGTGGACGTATTATGTTGTTTTTTTTCTGCATTTTGGTTAATTATTCAGAGTACTTCTTAGATTACAGACCTCTTTGTTTTGGCTGTACACCAGGGTAAACATGCCAACTCTCTCTTGAATGTGCATGACACTCCACGTGAGGAGTCTTACGTAAACCCTTTTCTACCAATCCGCTTCCGTTCACTAGAACCGGAAGTTGTAATCCATTAGCATTTTCCTCAAAGCGACATAGTTCAGCTTTTCTTACCTGCTACAAAACAGAGCGAACGCTGCGCATTTTTAGTCAAAGTGTATCCGTCGTTGAATGTGCGAGATGAAACACAACTCGAACGTCCCGGCTTTCCTCACTAAGCTGTGGACTCTGGTCGAGGATGCAGACACCAATGAGTTTATTTGCTGGAGTCAGGTAACGCTAAAACTGTCTACTGTTAGCATGTAAAAGCTAATGCAAAGCAGTCAACGGTTAGCTTAAGTTAACGCAGCAAGCGTAGCATCACGCAGCCGGGGCTCAGCAGCACTCGTTTCAGCACAGAGAGCGAGTACTTAAGCTAGCTGAAGCTAAATGTAGACTGTTAGCTAGCCATTCGTTCTCCTGTACCTGGTAGTTTGCAAAGCTAAATCCGGGTTAGCTAGCATCATCAGTTTATCTTTGACTTTTGGGCGCTGGGTCACTATTAAAGCTCGCTCTCTCTCTCTCTCTCTCTCTCTCTGTCTCTCTCTGTCTCTGTGTGTGCGCGCATCTCGCTTCTATGTTAAAATTAAACACTCGAATCAAAACCTTAAAATGGCATTTTTGCATGAAAATGATGCACCACATGGATTACTACTTCAAATAAGGTTGTTTTTTTTTGTTTAATTTAATGGTCATATCATAAAGGACACACCACAATAAGCATTAGGGATGTACCATATGGATTTTTCCTCAGCCAGTACAATAGCTGATAATTAACTGATTCTCATGGCCAATGCCAATAAGATAACTGATAATTTCACATTTTTGTATTTTAAAAATAAGTTCTTAACCTGTAGTTTTTACACACCAGAGTGTCAGAAAGGTTAAGATGAAGTGAGCAAATACAGATGATTAAACATTCTTTAGTTCTGTTCTAACCATATTTAACTGACATCACTATTATTACAACAAAAAGAAACAGTTCTGACTCTTCAAATGTTCCTTTATTTTTTCCAGTAAGGCTCATTAAAACACTTCACAAACTATAGTTTGCTGATCTATACTGACAGTCACGGTGTTGTTCATTGTTTTCAGGAGGGCAATAGCTTCCTGGTGTTGGACGAGCAGCGCTTTGCCAAGGAGATCCTCCCCAAGTTCTTCAAGCACAACAACATGGCCAGTTTCATCAGGCAGCTCAATATGTGTAAGACAGCATTCATCACTTTGGCGGTTCGTTCCCCGGCTACTCTCGCTACATGTCTGGTTTGGGCGGATGTTCACCAGTTCAAGTCCCCACAGTATGGGGGTGAAACTGGCACCTTAGTCAACTAATCAGTTGTCCACTATCAAATTGATCGCCATATATTTTGACAATCACTTAATTGTTTAAAGTAATTTTTTAAGAAAAAAAATCTATGATTTTAGCTTTTCAAATGTGAATATTTTCTGATTTATTTCATCCTCTATGACCGTAAACTGAATATCTTTGGGTTGTAGACAAAACAAGACATTTGAAGACGTCACCTTGGGCTTTGGGAAACACATTTTTCACCATGACATATTATATTCTTTGCATAACAATAACTGTAGAAAACAGCTGATAAACTATACAATGAACCCAAATAGTGTACATAATAACAGCCGTTTGTGTATATTTGGATGAATTTTGAGCAGAATATTTCCTGTAAGCATCAGAAATGAGTTTTCCTTATATTTTTAGGAACCTTTATACATTTCTTTGTATTATGTATCTTTTGAATTTGTTAATCATACATACATAATATGCTTTTTTGGACAGGTTTTCTTCTCATTATTCCATTAGCTCTTTGGTTGTTTAATTTTTCTAATGCAGGCTGAGGCTGTTTATCAGAGAGTGAAGGCTCTGCGAACATAGCTTGTGTTCAAGTCCTCACTGTGCCCCTTTCCTTTTTTATATCTTAAATAATAATCTAAACATTAAAATTGACAATTTCATTTAGTTTTCTGAAATAAAAGAAATGCTGAGGTAAAGGCCTACTGTATATATTTAAAAAAACATAAAAGAAGAGTGAAGTTGTGACACAACCCAGTAAACATATACTGTTACAATTATTTTCTAAGCAAGGATTACGAGCAGGTGATTGTCCTAGTACTGACCCACCTC